TTAACACCAGAGATAGAATCATATGTTAAGAACCACCCTCTTCTTTCTTTATTACCGTTAAACCCTAGAGATGCATTTTACGGTGGCAGAACAGGTGCTACAAAATTATACCATAAAGTTAAAGACACCGAGAAAATAAAATATGTAGATGTTTGTTCATTATATCCTTGGGTTAACAAATATGGGAAATACCCTATAGGACACCCTGAAATTCTTTTAGGTGATGACTGTAAGCATCTGGACCTAAACAAAACCGAAGGAATAATAAAATGTAAAATACTTCCTCCTCAAGAACTTTATCACCCCGTATTACCAGTGAAATCAAATAACAAATTAATGTTCCCTCTTTGTCGCACCTGTTGTGAACAAATGAGTGAAGAATGTAGCCATACCGAAGACGAAAGAGCTTTAATAGGTACATGGGTAATGGATGAAGTAATAAAAAGTTTCGAAAAAGGGTACAAAATGGTCGAAATTTACGAAATCTGGAAATATAAAACTGAACAATATAATCCGAACACTAAGAGTGGGGGTCTGTTTGCGGATTATATCTCTACTTTCCTTAAATTAAAACAGGAGGCTTCGGGTTATCCTGCAGATTGTGATTCATATGAAAAACAAGAAAAGTACATTAAGGAATATCTCGAAAAAGAGGGGGTTAAATTAGACCCCACGGAAATAGAATTTAATCCTGGTATCCGCCAAGTAGGAAAATCAGTAATCACGTCGTTTTGGGGTAAACTGGGTCAGCGTGAAAACCAAGTGAAAACGTCTATTGTAAACGAACCCTCTGAATTTTTCGACTTATTATCCGGTTCATTTGTGGAAGTACATAGCGTCTACCCTGTAGATGAAAACGTTCTTATAGTTAACTGGTCGTATAAGGAGGAGGTATACGATTCTCTTCCCACTGTTAACGTTGCTCTAGCAGCATATACCACGGCTCAGGCACGACTAAAACTTTATAGTTACTTGGAAAAACTCGGCGAGAGGGTACTGTACTACGATACAGACAGTATTATTTATATAAGTAAACCAGAACATTTTGATGTGTCTTTAGGTTCTTTTCTCGGCGAAATGACCAACGAACTGGAAGGGTATGGAAAAGACAGATTTATCACTGAATTTGTCCCTGGAGGCCCTAAATTATATGCTTATCGTGTATATTCCCCCGATAAAAATGAATACCACGATATGATTAAAGCTAAGAGTATAACAATAAACCACAAAACATCTAAAACTGTAAATTTTGAAAAACTTAGAGATATGGTTCTGAAAGATGCTCCTCCCGAATACATCACTACAAAAAATATATTAAGGACTCAGGGGCACGAAGTCATCACGAAAGAAGTTACTAAAATTTTTCGCACTAATTTTAGAAAACGTCTACGTATCGGGGATTTTGATTCTATACCCTTCGGCTATAAAAAACCAAAGTTAGAAAATTAGTTAGTTGGTAGTTAGTTATAAGAAATGTTTTCTAATTAAATAGTTTTCAGGTGTCAGCGTTTCTTTGAAGACAAGACACGATGCTAGTAGAACCTGAAACTTTGAATTAATAAGTAGTAACTAAGTGTAATTTCACATACAAACTATAACAATTAAACAACTTTAAGTTATGTATTATGTAATCAAAAAGTTCTAAAACCCAAAATACTATGGTCTATGTTCTTATTCTAACACGAACCAAGTAAATACAGACTCTGAACACAATAAAGCCAAAGGTCTAAAAAGACCAATTGAACAGAACTTCTGAAACAGTAGGTGACAGTAAATCGTAAGTTCTCTTACAAACTGTGACAACAGAACTTTTTTGAAATAATAGGTGACAATAAATTGTAAATTCTCATACAAACTGTGACAAATAAATAGTCGTAAAATTATCTATTACATCAAAAGTAAACAAAAGGTTTAAAAGTACCAAAAATATCATAGTCTATGTAAAAGAAGTTAGTTAAAGTTCTTCGTCTAAAAGAGCCAAGTCACAGACCCTGAACATAATAAAAGAGCCAACAGCTAGACATTGGTCTAAAGAACTAATTAAACAGAGCTTTTGAAACAATAGGTGACAATAAATCGTAAATTCTCATACAAACTGTGACAATAAACCGTCTTGAAATTATCTATTAGGTCAAAAGTAAACCACAGGTTTTAAAAGAACCTAAATAACATAGTCTATGTAAAAGAAGTCAAATAAAGTTCTTCGTCTAAAAAGAGCCAAGTAAATACAGACCCTGAACATAAAAAAAAGAGCCAACAACTAGACATTGGTCTAAAGAACTAATTAAACAGAACTTTTGAAACAATAGGTAACAATAAATCGTAAATTCTCATACAAACTGTGACAATAAACCGTCTTGAAATTATCTATTAGATCAAAAAGTAAACCACAGGTTGCAAAACTACCAAAATATTGTGATTTATGTAAAAGAAGCCAATTACAATTCTTAGTCTAAGAAGAGCCAAGTAAATCTGTATCTACTTGTAGTCTGTACGCCGAATACAATAAAAGAATCAAACAGACCCAGCTATTAAAATAAATGTATTTGTACCTGAAATACACTTTTCTTACTCTTACGCGGATAAATTTAAAAAGTACCTGCCGTCTAGTTATTTTTCTCCGAGGTTAGGTCCAAATTTATGGGTATTGTATTTTACAATATTCATATATTTGGAGATTCCTTAAAACTAACGAGCCCCCTTTGCCTTTCCTCAGTGGTAGGGGCATGGAAAAGGTCCGAATGTATTAACCACGAAACTGTGTTCTGTCTTAATACGTTTGGAGTTATTTATTTCAATTATTTGTTCATTAATATTCCTGAAATAGTTAAGGGATTAATTAGCTACGTGTGATTCCCAAATATCTGTTTATAAATATTTAGAGCACACATGTATTGTTTTTATATTTAACAACGGTTATTACCGGGCATTATAAGTTTTTATCCGAATTAATATACCCTAAAGCATTTATAATAAAATAGGTGGTGGTCTAGAACTACAGATGTCTTACGATCCTATACCTTAATGTTAATATCTTATTTGAGTTTGTAACATCAGATTGTAGTGGCATTTATACAGGTGAATTAATATTATGTTTTATATGTTTATCATAATTAATTTGTCTGGTGAATAATTTGTACATATTAGACTACAGGTTACCTTTCAATGTTCATCAAGAAACTGGTACGAGTTGTAAAACACTCTAAAACTAGTTATCATTAACAACTTAAATCACAATTTTCGACATTTATATATTTTACTATAGCCCCTATATCTTAAATTTTTAAAATAACCACTGCTGAATTATATCATACTTGTAAATATTAAAATATTGTAATTAAAACTTTATTTGTTTAAATTATTATAACATCTACGTGATGGAAGAACTGACCTTAAGGTAGGAGTAAGTATAAAACCCTTTTAAATTATAGTTGTACACATTTATATATTTTATTCCCGTTTCCGACATCTTAAATTTATAAATACATTACTATATTTTATAATACTTTTAAATATTAAATTAATTAAAAGTTTATTTGCAGGCATTGTACATTTTTATCTATGCTACTTGCCGTGTTAGAATTGATAGTTGCCTTACCGTTTATTCGTCAAGAAACTGATATAAAACATTCTAAAACTAGTTATCATTAACAATTTAAATAATAATTTTCGACACTTATATAATTTACGGTTGTCCCCTATATCTTAAATTTAAAAATAACCACACTGTATTCTACCATACCTATTTGTAAATATTAAATTAGTTAAAGTTTTTATTTGTTTAAATTAACATCTATGTGCTGTAAGAACTGACAACTGCCTTAGGGGCAAGGTATAAAACTGTATTACCCTTTNACAGGTACTTAATAAATACCTTGTCTATTGCTGCGTATGAAATAATTTTCATTATCTAGGAAAGACAGTGATCAAAACACCTGCTTTTTAAAAGCATTGTCATCTAATATAAAATTTTTAATTAACACCCAAAAGATTTAATATTAACTTATTACTTTAGATGTATATCTTAATTTTCACTAACTTTTACAGGCTAAACTGGTAATAATTTATTTAGTAAAGGGTATAGAACCACTCTGTTTGTTAGTCAAACCTTGTTGGTAGGAGCATTTGGATAAGAATGTTTAATAATTATTTGTTGTGTACAACTCTTTTTTTTCTAATTTTAATGCATATGTTTTCTTCCTTTCAGCTAAGCTCGGTAAATCTGTTATTTAATAAATTATATTTCGGTCATTTAACTATACAAAAAACCTATATATGTTTGGTATTTGATTAGCTACTGTTGCGGTTCATAAACATTTTCGCCCATTCTACCAGTCTCGGTAATTTTTATTTAATAAAATGAAACATATATGAAAACATATCTATTTGGTACCTGTTAATTGTTGTTGTGTGTACTGCTGAGACGATAGCCAATAATACTCTAGGGTGGTGCATTTTATAAAGAGATTAATTAATTAAGCATATGTGTACGGATAGAATATGGTTCGTAAGATGGTGTCAAGCACAGAACTACTAAAAAAAAAAGTGCCCACAATCTAAGCTTGTCTTGATTGTGAGCTATATGTCTGTTTGTACATTAGTTTGTGAGAAACGATGTTGTTATTGTTTTTAATTTTATCATGAACAACAATACTAGATATATCGTATCTCACCATACTAGGTATTAAGCTCGTCACCCTTTGCGGTATTTGACAGTTTTTATTACATGTCTATTATTGTTTTTTACATCTGAATAAATCATCTGAAAATATTAAGGTATTAAATATTTTTATTACTACAAACATGGTGGTTAGTTAAAACAAATTTCTTAAATACCCCTGAAATTTATACATCTTGGCAACAGTGTATTACAATAAAAGAACTTTACAGGTTTTATATATAAAGGATCCTGCCTGTATTGACAGCTCATTGTTGGTCAATCGTTCGCAGAGTGAAGTTGTTTAGTTTTCCACACCTCAGTGAGTTTAACCAAGTTTACAATGGAAAAATTTATTATTGTAAAAGACATCGTTAAGAACGTCCGAAGGTTCAACCTTAGAGGTAGAGCTCTGGATTTTAAAATTCGTAAAGTTCCTGATAATGCAGACCCTATCAGATGGGTCAGAGAAGGCATTAAAGAAATTGTTGAAAGGGGTATGGAGGGTACAGAACCTAGTGATCTGATTGGGTTCACTTTCTGTAGTAGAGATTTCAAACGAGGCGACGGGTGGATAAGTTTTAGACCTGTATCAAAAGTAAAAATTGAGGATATATGGGATATGATCTCGAGTGTATACCAATCTAACTCGTCAGGTTTTAGTACAGATACATTTTGTCTGAGTGTAACATCTGTGAAAATACCTAAAGGTAGAGGTCGAAACGGTAAATACAACACTTTTAATGAGGAGTGTGGTAAAAAGCGAGGTGTTATTTATATTGATAATAATGATAACCTCTGCTTACCCCGTGCAGTTGTTGTTGCTCAGGCACATGTCAATAAAGACCCTCTTTATTCGAAAGTACGAAAGAATACAGCCAAACTTCAGACTATTAGAGCATTAGAGTTAGTAGAGAGTTCTATGGTCCAAATTCCGCCTGAAGGGGCTGGTATCCGTGAATTAAATCAACTCCAACAACACCTCAAAGAATATGTCATAACGGTGTACAAGTATGGTAGTAAAGGTCGGGATGTTATCTTTAAAGGTCTTGGGGACGGGAAGAGACTAAACCTACTATTTCATGAAGGTCATTATAACGTCATCACATCCCTTACTGCAGCTTTTTGCTGTTCATATTATTGTGAACTATGTAATACACCCTATAACAACAAAACAGGTCATAGGTGCGAAGCCTCCTGTCCGGCATGTCAACATACTCCACCCTGTTCTCAGCAACAACCCATTAAATGCTATGAGTGTAACCGATCATTCCGTGGGCAGTTATGTTTTGATAACCATAAAAAAGAAGGATATCGTCGGCAGAACTCTGTGTGTCATGAGATTCGTAGGTGTGAAATATGTTATAAAACTGTAAAATCTGGTAGACAACATACATGTGGTGAAATATTTTGTAAAACATGTAAAGAACACGTACCCACCCCCCACCACTGCTATATGCCCACAGACACCGGGAAACCAACCATGAAAGACAAGCTTTTCATTTTTTATGACCTAGAAAGTACACAAGAAAAACAGATAGAGGACAATTCGTTTCTTCACGAACCTAATTTATGTGTTTTTAAACAATGTTGTGAATTCTGTTTGGATACACAACCTGAAATTTGTGCAAAATGCGGACCCAGGCTACAAATATTGAAAACCGAACCAGTACCTCGCTTTGTGGAGTTTGTAATGAACCAAAGAAAATTATTTAAAAAGGTGTTCGTAATAGGGCACGCCGGGGGTATATATGACACACAATTTATACTCCGCTACATTATATCAAAAACTAATTTGAAATCAGAACTAATTGCTAGAGGTACTAAACTTATATCGCTGCAAGTGGATAACGTCAAATTTATTGATTCGCTGAGCTACTTCCCCATGCCTCTGGCTAAGTTACCGAAGTGTTTTGGGTTAGAAGATATGAAGAAGGGTTATTTCCCTCATTTATTTAACACGATAGAAAACCAAAGCTATGTGGGGCCTCTTCCATCTATCGAATACTATGACCCTGACAATATGAAAGAGGATGAAAGAAAAGCGTTTATTAAATGGTATACGGACCTGTCTACTCAAAACTATGTATTCGATTTCCAAAAAGAAATTGTTGATTATTGTATATCCGATGTAGATATTTTGACTCAAGCTTGTTTAAAGTTTAGAAAGTTAATAATAAAAGAAGGAAACGTTGACCCTTTTACCGAAGCTATAACATTACCAGGAGCCTGTAACAAAATTTTTCGCCGAAACTTCTTAAAACCAAATACTATAGGAATAATACCAAAGAATGGGTACAGATGGTGTGACAACCAGTCTAGAGTTGCTGTTCAGTGGCTTCTCTGGGAAGAACATCAGCGTCAAATAAACATATTGCATGCGGCCAAACAGGAGGAGGTGGTTGTTGCTGGTGTTAAAGTTGATGGGTTTTGCCCCGATACTAAACAAATTTTTGAGTTTCATGGTTGTTATTATCATGGTTGCCCTAAGTGTATAAAGTACAACCGCGACAGTTTTACTTATGATGATCCTTCACTAACAGTCGAGTCTCGATTTGAAGCAACTGTTGCAAAGACGGATAGACTGCGTGAAATGGGGTATGAGGTAGTTGAGAAATGGGAGTGTGAGTTTAAAAACATGTTAACACCAGAGATAGAATCATATGTTAAGAACCACCCTCTTCTTTCTTTATTACCGTTAAACCCTAGAGATGCATTTTACGGTGGCAGAACAGGTGCTACAAAATTGTACCATAAAGTTAAAGACACCGAGAAAATAAAATATGTAGATGTTTGTTCATTATATCCTTGGGTTAACAAATATGGGAAATACCCTATAGGACACCCTGAAATTCTTTTAGGTGATGACTGTAAGCATCTGGACCTAAACAAAACCGAAGGAATAATAAAATGTAAAATACTTCCTCCTCAAGAACTTTATCACCCCGTATTACCAGTGAAATCAAATAACAAATTAATGTTCCCTCTTTGTCGCACCTGTTGTGAACAAATGAGTGAAGAATGTAGCCATACCGAAGACGAAAGAGCTTTAATAGGTACATGGGTAATGGATGAAGTAATAAAAAGTTTCGAAAAAGGGTACAAAATGGTCGAAATTTACGAAATCTGGAAATATAAAACTGAACAATATAATCCGAACACTAAGAGTGGGGGTCTGTTTGCGGATTATATCTCTACTTTCCTTAAATTAAAACAGGAGGCTTCGGGTTATCCTGCAGATTGTGATTCATATGAAAAACAAGAAAAGTACATTAAGGAATATCTCGAAAAAGAGGGGGTTAAATTAGACCCCACGGAAATAGAATTTAATCCTGGTCTCCGCCAAGTAGGAAAATCAGTAATCACGTCGTTTTGGGGTAAACTGGGTCAGCGTGAAAACCAAGTGAAAACGTCTATTGTAAACGAACCCTCTGAATTTTTCGACTTATTATCCGGTTCATTTGTGGAAGTACATAGCGTCTACCCTGTAGATGAAAACGTTCTTATAGTTAACTGGTCGTATAAGGAGGAGGTATACGATTCTCTTCCCACTGTTAACGTTGCTCTAGCAGCATATACCACGGCTCAGGCACGACTAAAACTTTATAGTTACTTGGAAAAACTCGGCGAGAGGGTACTGTACTACGATACAGACAGTATTATTTATATAAGTAAACCAAAACATTTTGATGTGTCTTTAGGTTCTTTTCTCGGTGAAATGACCAACGAACTGGAAGGGTATGGAAAAGACAGATTTATCACTGAATTTGTCCCTGGAGGCCCTAAATTATTTGCTTATCGTGTATATTCCCCCGATAAAAATGAATACCACGATATGATTAAAGCTAAGAGTATAACAATAAACCACAAAACATCTAAAACTGTAAATTTTGAAAAACTTAGAGATATGGTTCTGAAAGATGCTCCTCCCGAATACATCACTACAAAAAATATATTAAGGACTCAGGGGCACGAAGTCATCACGAAAGAAGTTACTAAAATTTTTCGCACTAATTTTAGAAAACGTCTACGTATCGGGGATTTTGATTCTATACCCTTCGGCTATAAAAAACCAAAGTTAGAAAATTAGTTAGTTGGTAGTTAGTTATAAGAAATGTTTTCTAATTAAATAGTTTTCAGGTGTCAGCGTTTCTTTGAAGACAAGACACGATGCTAGTAGAACCTGAAACTTTGAATTAATAAGTAGTAACTAAGTGTAATTTCACATACAAACTATAACAATTAAACAACTTTAAGTTATGTATTATGTAATCAAAAAGTTCTAAAACCCAAAATACTATGGTCTATGTTCTTATTCTAACACGAACCAAGTAAATACAGACTCTGAACACAATAAAGCCAAAGGTCTAAAAAGACCAATTGAACAGAACTTCTGAAACAGTAGGTGACAGTAAATCGTAAGTTCTTACAAACTGTGACAACTAAACAGAACTTTTTTTTTGAAATAATAGGTGACAATAAATTGTAAATTCTCATACAAACTGTGACAAATAAACAGTCGTAAAATTACCTATTACATCAAAAGTAAACAAAAGGTTTAAAAGTACCAAAAATATCATAGTCTATGTAAAAGAAGTTAGTTAAAGTTCTTCGTCTAAAAGAGCCAAGTAAATACAGACCCTGAACATAATAAAAGAGCCAACAGCTAGGCATTGATCTAAAGAACTAATTAAACAGAGCTTTTGAAACAATAGGTGACAATAAATCCTAAATTCTCATACAAACTGTGACAATAAACCGTCTTGAAATTATCTATTAGGTCAAAAGTAAACAACAGGTTTTAAAAGAACCTAAATAACATAGTCTATGTAAAAGAAGTCAAATAAAGTTCTTCGTCTAAAAAAGAGCCAAGTAAATACAGACCCTGAACATAAAAAAAAGAGCCAACAACTAGACATTGGTCTAAAGAACTAATTAAACAGAACTTTTGAAACAATAGGTGACAATAAATCGTAAATTCTCATACAAACTGTGACAATAAACCGTCTTGAAATTATCTATTAGATCAAAAAGTAAACCACAGGTTGCAAAACTACCAAAATATTGTGATTTATGTAAAAGAAGCCAATTACAATTCTTAGTCTAAGAAGAGTCAAGTAAATCTGTATCTACTTGTAGTCTGTACGCCGAATACAATAAAAGAATCAAACAGACCCAGCTATTAAAATAAATGTATTTGTACCTGAAATACACTTTTCTTACTCTTACGCGGATAAATTTAAAAAGTACCTGCCGTCTAGTTATTTTTCTCCGAGGTTAGGTCCAAATTTATGGGTATTGTATTTTACAATATTCATATATTTGGAGATTCCTTAAAACTAACGAGCCCCCTTTGCCTTTCCTCAGTGGTAGGGGCATGGAAAAGGTCCGAATGTATTAACCACGAAACTGTGTTCTGTCTTAATACGTTTGGAGTTATTTATTTCAATTATTTGTTCATTAATATTCCTGAAATAGTTAAGGGATTAATTAGCTACGTGTGATTCCCAAATATCTGTTTATAAATATTTAGAGCACACATGTATTGTTTTTATATTTAACAACGGTTATTACCGGGCATTATAAGTTTTTATCCGAATTAATATACCCTAAAGCATTTATAATAAAATAGGTGGTGGTCTAGAACTACAGATGTCTTACGATCCTATACCTTAATGTTAATATCTTATTTGAGTTTGTAACATCAGATTGTAGTGGCATTTATACAGGTGAATTAATATTATGTTTTATATGTTTATCATAATTAATTTGTCTGGTGAATAATTTGTACATATTAGACTACAGGTTACCTTTCAATGTTCATCAAGAAACTGGTACGAGTTGTAAAACACTCTAAAACTAGTTATCATTAACAACTTAAATCACAATTTTCGACATTTATATATTTTACTATAGCCCCTATATCTTAAATTTTTAAAATAACCACTGCTGAATTATATCATACTTGTAAATATTAAAATATTGTAATTAAAACTTTATTTGTTTAAATTATTATAACATCTACGTGATGGAAGAACTGACCTTAAGGTAGGAGTAAGTATAAAACCCTTTTAAATTATAGTTGTACACATTTATATATTTTATTCCCGTTTCCGACATCTTAAATTTATAAATACATTACTATATTTTATAATACTTTTAAATATTAAATTAATTAAAAGTTTATTTGCAGGCATTGTACATTTTTATCTATGCTACTTGCCGTGTTAGAATTGATAGTTGCCTTACCGTTTATTCGTCAAGAAACTGATATAAAACATTCTAAAACTAGTTATCATTAACAATTTAAATAATAATTTTCGACACTTATATAATTTACGGTTGTCCCCTATATCTTAAATTTAAAAATAACCACACTGTATTCTACCATACCTATTTGTAAATATTAAATTAGTTAAAGTTTTTATTTGTTTAAATTAACATCTATGTGCTGTAAGAACTGACAACTGCCTTAGGGGCAAGGTATAAAACTGTATTACCCTTTTTTATAATTTTACACATTTATATATTTTATTCCCGTTTCCGACATCTAAAATTTAAAATAACAATTACTATATTCTATCATATTTGTAAATACTAAATTAATTAAAGTTTATTTGTAGGTAGGGTACAGCTCTTTATCTACCTACAGCGATGGCTGTGATTGGTGGTATATAAATCTATCGATATTTTGTCCTACTGTTTATTCATCAAAGAGGTATAAAACATTTCTCTAAGAAAACTATCACTAGATTTTTAACTTATCGCTGTACACCATACATTTTATATATTTTATTCATGACTCCATCTTAAATTTAAAAATAACCACACTGTGTTCTACCATACCTATTTGTAAATATTAAATTAGTTAAAGTTTTTATTTGTTTAAATTAACATCTATGTGCTGTAAGAACTGACAACCGCCTTAGGGAGCAGGGTATAAAACGGTATTACCCTTTTTTTAAATTATAGTTTTACACATTTATATATTTTATTCCAGTTTACGGCATCTTAAATTTAAAATAACAATTACTATATTACTATATATAAGGAAGATCTAACTATCGCTAACCCTTTTTAAATCGTAGTTTTACTAATTTATATATCTGCAGAATATGTTGTAGTTTTCTATACTGTCCTAAGTTTAAATAATGGTCTTGAAAGATTTAATAAAGTAGTTAAACTTGTTTAATAAAGCTGCATTATATTAGTATGCAATTAATTTACACATTTTAAGTTTGAAATCATGTATTTACTATTAACGAACAATTCGGATCAGTTAGTGCATATAACAATCGAGTATTTTAATTAATACCGTTAATTACGAATATGTTTTTACTAGATAACCGTCCAGTGGTCTATGACCTCTTACTCGGATCGGGGCATGGTGCATGCAGCGTTTCGTTCACCGCTACTATCAGGATGTGACTGCCTGCCACTAATTACTGTTAGGTACCCTAAAGAGCCGTGATTCCCGAGCATGCGCATAGGGGCATTTGGGACGCGACTGTCTGTCCCTGTCTGGCCCAAGTGTCCCTATACCTACTCATAAGCAACCGCTACAAAAGCAACAAAAGTANAGGATGTGACTGCCTGCCACTAATTACTGTTAGGTACCCTAAAGAGCCGTGATTCCCGAGCATGCGCATAGGGGCATTTGGGACGCGACTGTCTGTCCCTGTCTGGCCCAAGTGTCCCTATACCTACTCATAAGCAACCGCTACAAAAGCAACAAAAGTAACTACAACACCCACAGCAGCAGCAACAGTGACAACTAATGCACTCTCCTTACTGTAGTAGCCAAAGCATATCTACCTAACTCGATAGAACGCTTCGTATCCTCCTTAATAATCTTTTCGTATCTAATGTTATTTTATCTATAATAAAAACTAAACTCTCTATGTTTATTTTAAACTGTATATAAATAAAAATGATAATAAACTGTTACCTATAGGTTCACATTATATTCATTTTGCTTTCATAGTAAAGATTTTTTTGTATTAACAAATGAATATTGATAGTTTTCTCCTTTTAATAAAGTTAAAAGCATTTGAACTGAAAAACAAAAGTATGTTTCGAGAAAGTATGTAGTACTAAATTAATTGTTTTAAATTTAATATCGATAGTTCATGTCGATCAATTTCAAAAACAATTTTATTTCATTACACCTTCAACCACTCCACTGGGGGTTAGGGATTTTTATTTGATTTTACCAACCGTGAATTGTTGGTTGCCTACGCTCGATGGTTAACGTTAACAATTGTGAAAGTAATTTTTTTAAGGGCATATATGAATTTTCAATCAAGTATTGAAAAAACGTTAAAAATTTTCCTTAGTTTCTCAATAGATGTATTAAACAGATTGAACATACTTGTTTTCTCAGTATATATTAACGACAATGTGCATTAGATACGAAAAAATACCTCAAGAAGTGCATAACCGTTCAAAACTACAACTTCCATTAATTTGCCGATTGTATTGCGGTCGGGCAAAAATGATTCGTGAAGTTAGCAATCTATCTTCAAACTGCGCGACCACGCAGTTGCCATTTTTTTTATCCTGCCCGCTTTTGCCCCACGCGATAAGAAACGTCTCAGTTCCTGGTTCCAAACCGCCCTGAAAGACACATTTATCTTTTATTTAAATTTTTCTTATTTCTGGCGGTCTCCGGGAATATTTAAATTCAATTCTGATACATGAGGCGAGATGAAGGGGTCAAACGCTGAGGGTTTTATCTATCGGGCGGCCCAGAAAAATGAGAGTTATAAAGTGTAGAGTTGATTATTATATTTCAACCTCGAAAATCAATTTACAACGAATGAATAAGTAATAATAATAAATAATATTTTATTTTATATTACAATATTATCCAAAGTATTTTCAAAAGTACAGGGTGTCCCAAAATAAAAAAAATTACGTCATCAACTTTTTTCCACGAACATTCCCATTTTTTATGATAAAACATTATACAAAAATGTATTCTATTGTATTGGAACCAGTCATGACTTAATCAACATTACCTACTCTGAAAAACAATCGCTGTAACTCCTGTCACTTTGTTTACATATTAGTTGCTATGTTCTTCTTAAA